GCTACCAACTATTTAAAATTATTTAAAATTTTATGTTAAGTGAATTTATGCTATTCACTTTAAAAACTAATAAAAACCTACTAAATTCACATTGAGCAGTTAACATAACAACTCGTAACTAACAACCGCAACCATAGCCCACTCGTACGGCGCCCACCGGCTATGACACTGGACGACGACATGGTTACCGCTCGGTATGTCCACGTCGTGGGACAGGCAGACGCCCGGGTATGTTGGAAACTGGTGGTCGGCGCTCAGAGCTCGGAGGCGGCCCTACAGGCGATCAAACACATGTTAAACGTCGACCAGTTAGACGGCCTGAGCCCCGGTGCTGTTAAAATAGTTAACAAGGTGAAACAGCAGGCTAAATATACGTGTAGTCGGTATGCCCGGACATGGGTGGAGCACGCGTGGAGTGTGGTCCACTTTTGGCTACCTGTCCAACACCCGGTGCAATAGTTAAAATAGTAATACGAGTAGGGTTAGATTTTAAATTGTAATTAAAAATTATTGTGGTGTATATGAGTTTAAAATTGATTGCCACGACTAATAGACATATAATTAAATTGAATTTCATAATTTACTACTAACTTTGCTCTAGATAAGTTTAATAAAACGAGAATAATCATCAAGAATAGTTTTAAAAACAACATTGGTAAAAATAAACAAAAAGCCAGATATGAAATGTGTTTAATTCCTCACGAATTGGGTTTAATCTCGTGCACTGCTATCACACAGTTTGCTATTTTTTGCAATACATACGTTAGTTTAACTAAAAGGTGATGTTAGTTTATGTATAACTAGTAATATCACCTACATCTTTAATGTTAGAATAACTTATTATTACCAGTATAATTTGTTTAATTACAAGTTAAATACATAATCTGTAGTTTAGCTATACTTTGTACTATTAAATCTGCTACCTCCCTTAAATCTCTGCTAACTTCACTGTATATGACACTAGATTTACAGTAAAGTCTACAAACTATACTAAAGGGGCACTCAACACACAATTCAACTCTAATAGCAAATTAATAAGGATACTAAATTCAAATTGAGAAATAGTTAAAACTTTTAATTAACAAGCAAAACATTCAGCATTTATGACTGAGCTACCAACTATTTAAAATTATTTAAAATTTTATGTTAAGTGAATTTATGCTATTCACTTTAAAAACTAATAAAAACCTACTAAATTCACATTGAGCAGTTAACATAACAACTCGTAACTAACAACCCTACGTACAGTACAAGTGAATTGGTGTTACCATAGAGACAGTGAACACATGTTTGGGAAACGATTTGAAATGTTTTTATTATTTGTAATCAAAACTTAATTATCATTCAAAACATGGGATCAAAAGGTAAGACAATACCACTCTTCATGTCCAACACCTCCGCAAACACTAACCACTCGTGTCTCGCATATGAACACCACTTCATCGCCGGTCACACCAACCCATGCAGTGATCAATGGCACGGATCTGCTCGAAGACCGACACGAGGAACAGCTCAGGAGTGATGAGAAGATATGTCTGGCATTCAATCAGCACAACAAACACGTGTCCAGCGATGAGCACCGCAAGAGATTGCCAGTCAATCGGGTATTACATCCCTTTCCACACACCCTACCAGTGCTCTCATATGACATACACCCCTCCCGGTGCTCGACACACGGCTACCAATTCAATGTCCACTGAGTCTTGATCCCTGTCCACACGTATAAGAGTTTATTGTAGGCGTGTGTTGGACAGACACCCCATACCTCACTACCTCCCTGTTCTCATAGGACATACCCACCCATACATACCTCCCGGTGCTCAACACACGGCTATCAATTCAATGCTCACTCTCTTAGTGTCTTAGCCCTTGTCCACACATATAACAGTTTACTGTTGATAATGACTGCCATTAATGCTAATCCATGTCTTAATCCTAATCCTTATGACCAGTTCCGCGACGAAATCGAGTACTTAATGACTAAATACCAGACACTCGTCATCGTCGGTGAGACCGGGTGTGGAAAGTCGACACAATTGCCACAAATAGTCGCACAGATATGTCACCAATGGATGGGCACCGACACCACTACAGCCACCACAACCCCCACCACTGATCACAAGCACCCGATGGTAGCCATCACTGAACCGCGAAGAGTAGCCGCCGTCTCATTGGCCGCACGCGTAGCTCAAGAGATGTCTGTGGAGTTGGGCCGTGAGGTCGGGTACGCCATCGGCTTCGAGGACTGTGTGGACAGACAGCGGACACGGATTAAGTTCGTGACGGAAGGCATACTCGTCAACGAACTCATGAGCGACCCTCTGGTGACCAGTTATGGCGCGATTATCGTTGACGAGGCGCACGAGCGGACACTCAATACGGATATACTGTTAGCGCTGCTCAAGAAAATCCTACGAAAACGGCCGGCGCTGCGACTCGTGGTCTCCTCGGCTACCATCGAGTGTCAGCTCATGAAAGAGTACTTCAATTTCAACGCATCCAGCGATCGCTCGGCGGACACGTCGACCGTACTATGTCTGGACGGCCGGTGCCATCCGGTCGACGTGTACTACAGTCGAGCGCCTGTCGCCGACTACGTGAAAGAGTCGGTGCAAACGGTGATCAAAATCCACGAGCGCTACCAATTCGGTGATATCCTTGTATTCCTCACCGGTATGGAAGAGGTGGACGCCTGCGTCTCAACGCTTAAGGACTACGCCCGGAGTTTGCGCGAAAAGCAGACCCCAGGCCTCCGGAAGCTGTATGTCCTTCCGATGTACGCCTCCCTCCCGGCCACGGATCAGATGCGAGTGTTCGACACGTTTGGCAAAAGTGTGCGCAAAGTGATTGTCGCCACCAATATAGCCGAGATCTCCCTCACCATACCGGGCGTCTCATTCATCGTGGACTCCGGGTTCGTGAAAATGCGTTTCTATAACCCGCGCACCTGTACGGACAGCCTGGTGGTGGTGCCCACGAGTCAGGCCTCCGCGCAGCAACGGGCCGGTAGGGCGGGTCGCGAGAGGGCCGGCAACGCGTTCCGACTCTACACGGAACAGGCGTTCCAGGAGTTGACACCCTTTACCACACCGGAGATCCAGAGGAGTTGTTTGGCGCTAACGATACTACAACTCAAAGCCCTGGGCGTCAACAATATCGCCAAATTCGAGTTCATATCCCCGCCCCCTGAGCGCCACGTGGTGTCAGCCCTGGACCTACTGTACGCGTTGGGCGCCATTGGCGATACCGGTGCTCTCACCCAACCACTAGGCCTACAAATGGCTGAGTTTCCGCTGCACCCGATGTTCGCCAAAATGCTGTTATCGTCGCCGGGGTTCGGGTGTAGCGTCGAAGCGCTGACTATATGCGCGGTACTACAGGTGCACAACATATGGCAACAGCCGGGCGGCGGTCAGCGGGCACTGCAGGCCAGGCGTGCGAAACACGAGCTGAGCGTCGAGGAGGGCGACCTCATCGCGTACCTCAACGTCTATAACCTGTTCGTGAAGGCCGACAAAGTGAGGTCGTGGGCGGACAGGCATTACCTCAACTACAAGGCCCTCGTGAGGGCGGTGGAGGTGCGGCACCGGTTGGAGTCCGTGATGAACCGGTTCCGTATGCGGTGGCGATCGGCCGGCGATGATGTCGACGCCGTGCGCCGCTGTATAGTCGCCGGGTTTTTCGCGAACGCCGCCTATTTGGACCCCTCCGGCAACTACCGTACCGTTCGGGGCGACCACGAGCTCCATATACACCCGCAGTCGGTGCTGTATACGCGGCCCCGACCCCCGAAATGGGTAGTCTTTCACGAGGTGTTGCACACGAGTCAGCAGTTTATGCGAGACGTGACCCCCATTGACCCTAAATGGCTGACAGAGTTGGCGCCCCATTACTACCAGTGCGGTACGGACAGGGAGATCATGGAAAGTAAGCTCACGAACAACACGTGATTTTTGACTGTAATTAACTGTAAATTAAATTATTTTTTAAACTCATTTTGTAAATAAAAACCGACGATTAGTCTAATAAAATAGTCTATAAATAACATGAAACACACAATTCGTATTGAATTAACTTTAATTTTATTGAAAACTGCAAACAATTTAATATTCATTACAATCGTGTATTCAAATGGTGTGTGTAATCAATAAAAACAAAAAAATGCGGTGAAAAATAAATATTTCAATTGAAAACAAACGGCATTAGAAATACCGG